CCTCCTCTATTATTACTACTGCCTCTCCCTCCTGTCCTCTACTATTATTACTGCCTCTCCCTCTCCTCCACCACAATTATTACTGGCTCTCACTCCTCTCCTCCATTATTATTACTTCACTCCCTCTCCTCCTCCACCACAACTACTGCCTCTCCCTCCCCACCACCATTATTATTACTGGCTCTCCCTCCCCTCCTCCAACACATCTACTACCTGTCCCTCCCCTCCTCCACCACATCTACTACCTCTCGAGCCCCTCCTCCACCACATCTACTGCCTCTCCCTCCCCTCCTTCACTATTACTACTGCCTTTCCCTCCCTTACTCCACCTTTACTAATGCCTCTCTCTCTTCTCCTCCACCATTATTACTGCATCTCCCTCCCCTCCTTGACCATTACTACTGCCTCTACTTTCCCCTTCACTATAAATACTGCCTCTCCCTCCCCTCCTCCACTATTATTTTTGCCTCTCCCTTCTCTCGTTACCTATACTACTGCCTCTCCCTCCCCCTCCTCCACCACCTCTACTGCACCTACGCATTCAAGACATTAACCTTCAGTGGGTTACACAATATCAATATCTCGGAGTGTGGATAGATTCTAAAATGACATTCAACAAGCAAATCCAATATCTAAAGAAGAAAGCAAAATCACGACTAAATATAATGAGAGCAATCACAGGGCCCCGATTAGGAGCGGGACTCAAAGTGTTAGGAATGTTTTACATACACGCCGTTCGTTCCCTAGTTGATTATGCAGCGCCTGCCTTACTCACTCTTTCTCCTGGTCAGTGGGCAAACGTTGAGGTTATTCAAAACGATGCATTGTGAATCCAAACAGGAGCTCCCAGATGGACTAAAATACTGAACCTAAGACTAGAAACCAAGCTAACGTCGATTGAAATAAGGGTAAAAGGGATCGCTGCATGCATGCTGACCAAGATATTGACTAGACCTAGAATCAGTTCACTTAAAGATATAATCACTGGAGCACTAATTCTGGACAGAAGAGCCTCCAATAGCAACAGGTGGACCCATTGTGCGATAAACACCATCAATACATTCGATATAACAAACACAGTCACTGAGAAGGGTGTCGACGAAATACATGCAGACTTTGTTATGCAAGCCCCTTGGGAATCTCCGCCAGCAGACTTTAAGATTATGGTTATTGAAGGAAAAAAGAACCAGACAAATCCTCATCTGCTACGTAACATTGCACAGATGCATATAGTAGCAAACATGGCATCCGACAGCTTCACTTGCTTCACAGATGGATCAGTAAACCAGCAGGGACAAGAAACCGGAGCTGCAGTTAAAGCAGGAAACTCTGTAAATAGTTGGAGGCTCTCAAATGGGTGTTCGACTTTACAAACAGAGATGCTAGCCATTCAAAAGGCTTTGGAACATGCTCTTGCTCAACACCGACAACATGTTATCGTACATACAGATTCGAGAACCGCCATTGAAACCTTGCAACAAGAACACATATGTGATAACATACATCTGATCACAAATGTCATATCAATAATGCAAACACTCAAACGACAAGGCCGTCGGGTACTTATCAACTGGGTGCCAAGTCATGTGGGAATAGGAGGAAATGACATTGCAGACGAAGCTGCAAAACTTGCAACTAAGAGGAGAAATGTAGACATTTACATACCGCAGAGTCTATCACAGATTAAGAAAGTAATTAGAAACAGAGCAATGCAAAAGATGTACAGTGACCACAACACAGCAGTTGCAACATCAGGATCTGCGGGTTGGTACAAGAATTCAACCAACTACGAACCACTTAATTTGATGAAAGGGAGCAGTAGAGCAACAGAAGTGCACTTACATCGCATCAGGCTTGGACACCCATGTGCATGGGAAATAGGCTTACAGGTTCCGGAAGATGAGAGGAAATGTCAACACTGTGGAGAAATGCCCGACAGACCACTGGAACATTATCTAACACAGTGAACAGTTACAAACCCATTAAGATTTCAACTTAGATTCAACAGAGCAGAAGAAGTTGTTAAACACATATTGCAAAATCTTACTAGAGCGACCATACGAGTAATAAATACTCATACTCCGCCCAAGTAAAACAGAAACAAGCAACATTTAGTGGGCCAGCCAGAGGCTTAGGGCCCGCGCAGGAATATCCCTGCAAAAAAACAAAAAAACAAAAACTCTACTGCCTCTCCCTCCTCTCCTCCACTATTACTACTGCCTCTCTCCCCTCCTCCACCATTACTACTGCCTCACCGTCCCCTCCACCATTACTACTGCCTCTCCCTCCCAATCTCTACAACAACTACAGCCTTTCCCTCCCCTCCTCCACCATTACAACTGCCTCTCCCTCCCATCCTCCACAACAACTACTGCCTCTCCCTCCACTCCTCCACCATTACAACTGCCTCTCCCTCCCATCCTCCACAACAACTACTGCCTCTCCCTCCCCTCCTCCACCATTACTACTGCCTCTCTCGCCCATCTGCTACAACAACTACTGCCTCTCCCTCCACTCCTCCACCATTACTACTGCCTCTCGCGCCCATCTGCTACAACAACTACTGCCTCTCCCTCCACTCCTCCTCCATTACTACTGCCTCCCCCTTCCATCCTACACAATAACTACTGCCTCTCCCTCCACTCCTCCTCTATTACTACTGCCTCTCCCTCCCCTCCTCCACCATTACTACTGCCTCTCCCTCCCCTCTTCCTCCTTTACTACTACCTCTCCCTCCCCTCGTAGGGGAGGGAGAGGCAGTAGTAGCCTGGTGGATAGCGCGCAGGACTCGTAATTCTGTGGCGCGGGTTCGATTCCCGCACGAGGCAGAAACAAATGGGCAAAGTTTCTTTCACCCTGAATGCCCCTGTTACCTAGCAGTAAATAAGTACCTGGGAGTTAGTCAGCTGTCACGGGCTGCTTCCTGGGGGTGGAGGCCTGGTCGAGGACCGGGCCGCGGGGACACTAAAGCCCCAAAATCATCTCAAGATAATCTCAAGATAATCCCCTCCTCCACCATTACTTCTGCCTCTCCCTCCTCTCCTCTTCCTTTACTACTGCCTCTCCCTCCTCTCTTCCTCCTCCTTTACTACTGCCTCTCCCTCCCCTCCTCCACCATTACTTCTGCCTCTCCCTCCACTCCTACACCATTACTACTGACTCTCCCTCCCCTCCTCCACCACAACTATTAACGCTCTCTTCCACTTCTCCTACACCACCACAACTACTACCTCTCCCTCGGGTCCTCCTTCTCCAAAACTACTACCTCTTCCTCCCCTCCTCCTCCTCCACCACTACTGCCTTTCCATCCCCTCGTCCTCCTTCACTACAACTACTGCCTCTCCCTCCCCTACCTCCTCTATCACTACAACTGCTTCTCCCTCCCCTCCACCTCCACCTCCACTAAAACTACCTCTCCCTTCCTCTCCTCTTCCTCCACCACAACTTCTGAACCTTTCTCCCCTTCTCCTCCTCCACCACTACTACTGCCTCTCCCTCCCCTCCTCCTTTTCCACCACTACTACTGCCTCTCCCTCCTCCTCCTCCGCTACTACTTTTGCCTCTCCCTCCCTTCCTTCCACCACAATAACTGCCTTTTTATCCCCTCCTACTCTACTACAACTACTGCCTCTCCCTTCCCCACCTCCTCCTCCACCACTACCACTTCCTCTCCCTCCTTCCTCCTCCTCCTACAATAATTCGACTATCTCTCCCTCCAATAAAGCAATAAAAATTATTGAAAGTTGCTTGGTCTATACATAGACAAGAGACTAAACTTCGGCACCCACATACAGCACATAGCCCCCCAATTTAAAAAAAAACAGTCGGTATACTCACAAAAATGAGATCAGTGTATCCCACTCTGTTCCCCTCTCATTGAATTACTCTCTAATCTATTCCCTATCTTACATAGGATATCTGTGAATGGGTGCAACCACTGCAAATTACATCAATCCCATCATCATCCAGTAAAAATATGCTTTCTGAACTAAAAGAAACTCTATCTTCAGACAACACACAACCCCTCACAGTTTAAATCCCTTTTAAAATGTAATTTAAACAGTTTAAATCCATAAACATGCTAAACATACTCTCACTCCACACATTCTCTTGTGCTATTTGCATATGTGTGTGCTTCTACACAATCTAGTTTCTAATTGCTAATCCTGATCTCAAACTCTTCCTTCATAAGTGTAATAGAACTCATGAGCAACACACCAAAAATAAATATCTCTTTGATATCCCCAGAGTCAAACTAATTATATGCAAACACTCCATGAAAAAAATATGACCCAGTATATAGAACTCAGTCCCTACTGAATTATAAAATTGTCCGACCTAAGTCTTACTCAAAAGTAAAAATAGAAAGTACCTAATTTTATCGGTATGGTCTCCTACCGTGTGCTTCAATCCCACACTGTATCTTGTGCTACCCACTTTCCCAATATTACTTCTTAAGACATGCTACTTCACCAGTAAAATATTTCCATCAATTTATATGTTGTTATTATATTAAGCAAAAATTTTGCTACTATGCACCATTTAATAAACTTATCTGTTAGATTAAGATCCTGCACCGAAACGCTATGCGTGTTAGTGGCGTTGGCACTAACAACGCATAATGTAATGCAAGAACACGAATGTTCATATGTAAGAACATGTAATGTAAGAAAATGTAATATAAGAAAATGTAATGTTAGAACATCAGTGTAAGAACACCAGTGTTATGTCCTCTCACAAACCCAATGTACCTTCTTGTATTTAAATAAATAAATAAATAAATAAATATAAAAATAAATAAATAAATAACCACTTCTCTAGGCGGTCAGATGTAACATATACAAGAGGCATCAGCTTCAAATTAAATGTTCTTCACTACAGAAGTAAAAAAATTGACTCTCCACAGTTCAATTTACAATATTATTTGGCCTGATGTATGTTGCTGAAGAATGCGTTTCTGACAGTAATGGTTACATGAAGACACTGTTCTGTTGTTACAGATGAGTTGCTTTATGGCGCGGGTAGAGCAGCCACTCCCCCGGTGGCAGGCGCTGGCATATCCCTTCAGCGCCCACGCCTGGAGTACCATCGTCGCCGGCTTCCTCCTGCTGGGTCCCGTACTCTGCCTCCTCGCCCGAGCAAGCAGATACCGGTTCGTGTACTGAAGTACCTACTGTTATGACCCAGCTTAACCAGTTCAGACTGGGTACGCTGAAGTCATACCTTTAGGTGTCGAGGTACCTCTCTTACAATGTAATTCATTCGTAGTCGTTGTTATAACATTATATTCACATGTAATCTAGTTTATTGTACGATGTTTTGCGACATTATTATTATTATATTTCTTAATGTGTTATGTGTGAGTGTGTGAGCTTTGTAGTTGCTAGTTTCGTCAGGCGACCACTGCTACTGTCAGCAAGTAGCAGTGGCCGCTACTTGGTGACAGTAGCCACCCCCAACTCCCTTCCCCTGCCTGTGTGTTTGTTGGTCAGTACAACCAACCCGGTGCGGTTGGTAAGCTTCTTATTTGTTGTTTATACATTTTTGTATGAAGCTAATTTCGTGTAATTGAACATCTTTTTTTTTTTTATTATTATTTTCTACCACAGACGTGGCCACACATTTACAATGCTAACCAGCATATATACATTTTCTTCTGTCCTCCATGGACAGGGTTAGAGAAGTGTTAAACATATAGTTCAAGGATTTATTGAACACTCAACCACAGAAGGTGATTCGGTGTTTTTAAAATGCTAAGCTAACCTACATACGTAAATACATAGATATACAGATTTACGTATGCCCTACATAAAGTGTTAGATGTGTCTTTTACATAGTGTCATTAATGTACATTCACAAAGGTGAAATGTAATTCTGATCAGCTTCCATATATACTTTATACCCATACATATACATACACACACACATATACATACATATATACACACACACATGCATTTACATACATTTGTCTCATTTACTCTGACAGGGTGAGGTAGCTGATAAAGAAACTAGTGTGCAATTAAGCACTTAATCACTGAAGGTGATTTGCTTTTACAAGCTCAGGTTATATAGTTACATCATATATATACATTGTATGATTGATATATTACATGGTCAATCTTGGATACAAGTTCAATATATCATCAAGTGTTCCAGTACTCATATAGTAACTACAGAGTTCAGCATACCTTAGCCCAGGAGGGCGAAAGTCAGTCAGTATGGGACATTCTACAATATAATGTTCAAGAGAGTGCATGTTTTCTCTTTCACAAAGTTGACACATTGTGTACTCGGCATTTGGGTTTTGAGAAAGCTGCCAGATACGTCTATATCCCAGGCGTATTCTGGCCACTATAACATCACATTGCCGGGTTCTTGTTCTATTAGTCCCATATGTGAATATCTCCTCACGATATCTATCATAATATTTAATGCTACAACTTTCAGGTCTTTGAGAATTTGTTAGGTCGGTGAGATTTTCATTAGATATTTGTTTAAGTATTCTCTTTGTCACTGCTAATGAAACACCCATATCAATTTCTACCACTGGTTTTCTGCAGGCTGACTTAGCAAGCATATCAACAGTGTCATGCCTTGAGATGCCAACATGTGATGGTATCCATAGGAATTTAATCTCAAATCTGTTTTCTTTGGCAGCTAAAACATTCATTCGAATATCACTGACTATTTTCTGGGTGTCACTACTATGTGCGTTCAATGCCAGGAGTGCACTCTGCGAGTCACAGTATATAAGTCCACTGCCTTTGTCTTTTAAAAATTCAGTGGCAAGGTATATGCCTGCAAGTTCGGTTTGAGTTGTACTTGCCCAGTCATTGACGCGCTTCATTGCTGTATGTACGAGAGAAGATTGTTCAAATATGTTACATGCACATCCGGTACATCGTCCACCTTCTTCTACAGAGCCGTCGGTATAGCACTGATAAACATCGTTACCCATACTCTGAGTACTTTCAGTGATGCTTTTCAGTGTTAACTGTTTTAATAATGTAGTGTGCACACTATCTTTCTTGGGCGCATTTACAAAATCAACTGATAGATCCCAGTTATCCCATGGAGTAATTGGCTGATTAATCATTAGTTGAGTTGGGTACATATTTAATATTTTGATGGAGTTGGCTACCTTGTAGAACCAATATACATAATCAGATTTCGTTCTTCTTCTATAGACCTCAGGTGAGTGCAGCATATTAGAAAGTTTAGCTTGAAACTTCATGTGTTGTCTAGATCTACTCAATGCCTTCACGCCGAAAACTGTGCTAATAGACAAAATTCTCTCACTTATGGTAGGTAATTTTAACTCTGCTCTCATGTTAACTATTCTCGTGGACTTTGGAGCCCCAAGGATGAGACGCATAGCTTCATTTTGCAAGGTTTCAAGAGATTTCAGCTCTTTGTCAGTATACAGTGTGAGATGTAGAGCATTGTAGTCAATCACAGAGCGTATAAATGATACATAAAACATTCTAGCAAGTCTCACGTTAAGTCCATGATTGACACCAACAAGGACCCGCAAGGGCTTTAATCTCTCCCAAAGTCTCCTCTTGAGAGAAGAAAGGTACCCAGGGTCGTTAATGGGGACACCAAGGTATCTGTAAGACTCGCAGTTCTCAAGTGCTCGCCCATCTATATGATAATTGGCTGGTGGAATACCACATGGAATGAGGGCACGAGTTTTCTGTACAGAGATAAGGAGGCCACATTCCTCAGCTCTAGTAGCAAAAGCGTCGAGCAGAACTTGCATTCTAGGCTCGGTGGCAGCCTGTAAACATATATCATCAGCATAACAAATGACAGTGTCTTCATTATTAGTTGGAAGATCTTTAATAAGTTTATGCATCAGAACGTTGAACAACAAGGGACTGAGGACCCCTCCTTGTGGAGTTCCCAGTTCAAAGTGTTTGCTCTCTGTGCTTTTAACACCATTAAACAAAACATATGCTGTTCGATTAGACAAATAGCCCTTTATCCATTTCAGTAATTTTCCTTGTATTCCCAGCTCGGCAAGCTGTTCCAGTATGATTTCTCTGTTTGCTGTATCAAAAGCTGCTGCTAGGTCGATGAAGACTGTTTGGGGGGAAGCTTCAATATGTGCGAAGTACTCAGCAAAACAGTGTTGTGTACTGAGCCCAGGCATAAATCCAAACAGTTGAGGTGACAGGTGCCCCAGTTCAAAGTGTTTGCTCTCTGTGCTTTTAACACCATTAAACAAAACATATGCTGTTCGATTAGACAAATAGCCCTTTATCCATTTCAGTAATTTTCCTTGTATTCCCAGCTCGGCAAGCTGTTCCAGTATGATTTCTCTGTTTGCTGTATCAAAAGCTGCTGCTAGGTCGATGAAGACTGTCTGAGGGGAAGCTTCAATATGTGCGAAGTACTCAGCAAAACAGTGTTGTGTACTGAGCCCAGGCATAAATCCAAACAGTTGAGGTGACAGGTGCCCCTGTATACGATTCATGAGTCGGTTAAGAACAATACATTCAAGCACTTTACAAACACACGATGTTAGAGATATGGGTCTATAATTATCAGTGTGGTTTGGGGATGGGAACAATGACACTCTTTGTCCAAGCATCAGGTAATACTCCTTCACGTAAACTCATTCTGTACAACACTAATAGTGGATTACCTGGTACGTGTGAGACTAATCTCAGTAGACTGTAAGTAATACCATCCTCTCCAGGAGCAGTTGATTTTCCCATCTTTAGTGCACGATTTAATTCCCATTCAGTTACATCATTAAGGTCCGACACGTCGATAGCTGTACAGGCAAGATTGATGGTTCGTTGTCTGTTGGGGCGTGTGTCATCAAGTTTGTGCTGTATGTTAATTGGGAGTGAGTCGTAGCTCGATGTTAGTGCCCATTGATCAAGGAGGATGTTTGCGTGTTCTAGTGGGCTGTGGTGCAGCGGTTTGGTTGGGCTGCTTCTAGAGATTTTTCGTATCTTTTCCCAAACTTCAACAAGTGTTGTGTGCTCATTTATACTTTGTAGGAACTCTTCCCAATGTTTATTACGTATAACGTTGCTCATGTCTCTCACCTCTCTATTTGCAACTAGAAATGCATGCAAGTCACCTTGTGCTTTGGTTCGTTTGTACGTATCTCCAAGTTGCTTTACTCGTTCATGTTCTTTAACAAATACGGGGTCAAGGACCCACTTGGGTGGTGGTAGGTGTTGCCCACTTCTGCTAGGCTTACGACCTGTTCCCTAACACACCCATGTGTCATAGTAGGTAGTAATCGTATCAACGAGATCTCTGGAGAAGGCTTGTACATTCGTTATTGTGTAATCTTGATACCATTTTGATATACAATTAATAAAGTGGTCATGCAAGCCATATGGAATATTCATTTTCCGTCTCTGATGTCTATTAGGTACATCACACTGTACCTCATAGGAAGCAGAAACTGCATAGTGATCACTAACCAAGTGATTTACCAACGAACATTCCATCCTATCTTGCACAAGGTTTCTACCCATTACATAATCAAGTCTACCTCCCAATAAATGAGTTTGGGTATCCGTAGTATACACGGTTAATCTGTTGTCATAAACATATTTGATAAATTTGCATCCATTATCGTTGTTAGTACTGTCTCCCAGCGTAATATGTCTAGCATTAAAATCTCCCATGTATATTGTCCCATGATTGTCTAGATCTGGGAACAATGTTACATTGAGTTTCTGGCTTCTGGCATATACGTTGAGGAATGAAAAGTGGCCTGCTGTAGTTTGTACATGAAAGTGATGGTACTGTGTGTGTACATGAAAGTGATGGTACTGTGTGTGTACATGAAAGTGATGGTACTGTGTGAGTACATGAAAGTGATGGTACTGTGTGTGTACATTGTGTGACGTGCTCACAAGAATGTGCGGTAAATCACTTCTGACGTAAGTTAATAGGCCTGTGGCGTTACTGTTATTATAGGATGCATACCCTCTGATTTTTGGTGGGGTTTTGTTTATCATATTGGACGTGTAGGGCTCCTGTAAAGCAATTATATCTATGTTGTTACTGGTAACATATGCAATTAGGTCATTCAGTCTTTTGTTGATGCTACGAATGTTCCAACTGAGAAACCTAATGGTTCTTGGGTCAACAGCAGCCATCGTCTTGGTGTTGTTCCTCCCTGGGACTGGTGGTCCCATTGTTGTCCTTGTCCCACTTACACAATACGTCAATAAGTGACTCAACGACGTAAAGAGCCACACCAACCTGGCGTTTGGTGTAGTCAGAAACATCTGGTGACATCATCAGTTTCTCGATCACTGAGCAACTCGGGATGGTCCGCGAGTGAATGCTCTCTGTAAGCTGTATGGCATAATTACTGTCACTCAGAGTATTATCTTTTTCATTCTCGTACTTGGCTTGAACGCGTTCCTTAAGGTCATGAATCATTTTAAAATATGTTGATGCAGGTCGACTTCCTTTTCCAGTTAATGTTTCTGTGTCACTATTACTGTTGTCATCCCTGAGTTGACTGACGACGTCGCTGCCACCGCCTCCGTTGTCGCTCTCATCTCTGTTGTCGCCGCTGCTGTCGCCGCTGCCTCCGCCGCTGCCGCCGCCGCTGCTACCGCTGCCGCCGCCGCTGCTGCTGTTGCTGCCGCCGCCGCTGCTGCTGCTGCTGCTGCCGCCGCCGCCGCCGCCGCCGCCGCCGTCACCACCACCACAGGAACCTTTACCAGCGCGGGCCACGGCTGTGACACAGCTGCATGGAGGCTGCTGTATCTCTTGTGAAGGAGCCTGACGTAGCGCCTGTATAATTTCAGTCAGTTCTGCTACCTGTGCTTGCAAGGTTGCCAACTGTCCATTAACTGTTGTATCAGGCTGTTGTGTGTTGTCAGGGGCGTTGCTGGTACTGTCACCACTATGGGATGGGTCAACAGTACTAGAGCCGGCATCAGTAGGCACTTGTTGTGTCTCGGGCACTTGCCTCCTTGTGCCAAGGGAGGCTGGCCGTTTGGTACAGTCTGAGTGCCAGATGGTGACTCCCTCCATACCACATCTGAAACACTTCAGCGGCGGTTTAGACGGAGCCACAGATTCAGGATGTTGCCCTGCTTCTGTTGCAGTGTTCTGTTGCTCCTGTTCCTGCTTTCTTTGGTCTCTGGTCTTCTTATACTGACAGTCCTTCAGTGGATGAGGACCGGAACAGAGAGCACACTTGGGTGTGGAGCACCGGCAGTGCTTAGCTATGTGGCCACTGCCACAGCACTCGTAACACTCCACAGGGTTCGGCTCCCACACCCTGAACGTGCTGGGGTGCGCATACGACCCACCAAACCAATGCTGGTCAGGTGGCAGTTCAGGCTTTTTCCAGACTATGACTATTTGATCAATAGGCTTACCATTCATGGTCAATCTTCGTGCTCTGTGTACCCCGTCTAATTCATAGGCCCACTCTAGTGGATACCTGTGACTGTACCTGTAGACTAGGTATTCATCCATCTTCTTGTTCCGTGTTGGATTATCTAGAGGGGAGAGCTTTACATCACCTATTTTCCCTTGTAGAAAACCTCCACAACCTCCTGCTTCTGTCTTGAAATATACACATATGGAGAGTTGACATGTGGACGTAGCACGCCTGCAGAGCCAGGTGGGTACACCACGCTCAGTTTCTTACTCCACACAATCCTGTCAGCGACACTCGTGCCTTTAGGGAAGGTCAGACGTGTGTACTCGCTCCTTGGTGCTATCGGACGCCTTCCACCCTGTTGTTCACCAGGCTTCTGTTTCCCTTGTTTCCTTCTCTGGCTCTTACTTACCACCGCTTCAAACCCATCATTGGGTGGTGGGGTGACAGTGTCACTGGTCACGGTAGGGGAGAGCCCTAAGGGTCCAGCAGCTACCTCCTCCATACCTGCTTCTTCAGGCGGCATTAATTGTTGCTCTAACCTCTTCCGATACCTAGTTAATACCATTTATAACCATGTGATGATGAATAACATGACAAATGGCAGGGCAAGCAGCAAGCCTTACCAGTCATCAGCGCCAACAGTCATAAACCTGCTCTAAGGGGAAGAGCACTCTCAGTGGGTTTGAGAGTGCTCAGACGACTTGGATAAACACTTGGATATTCCACTTGGTTGGTTGGGACTCGCAGAGGGTAGCCCTCAGTGACTTATTCTCCTATGTGTGGATAAAATGTCCCCTAAGACAGCCTAACTCTGCTACAAGGGTGAACAGATGCCCAAGTCAAGTGGCCCCCCAGATTTTACAGGTAACCGCATGGGCCACTGGACCGTTCCACTTGACCTGTTGAAATGGCGAAATGAGAAGACTAAGAGAAAGTGGGGAAGATAAATCTTATAACTAGGAATGTACAGTTGCATATGTATGTACGTATGTTCCAAAGGTGTATATATACGTAAGAGTATTTTTTGTTTTCTGTACTGTAGAAGTTGGCATCTGTCAATCCCCTGGGGTTATGGAGTTGAGCCCTGTGTTTCTAGTTGTTGTAGTCTAGTTGGATGCGACGCCTGATATAGCTGTGAAGGGTAACCCGATAATGACAGTTCCGACCGCAGAGAGCGCAGATAAAAGCCGAAGCGGGTGCGTCTTACAGTTGTCGAAACCTCCTCTGAAGTCTATTATCCTCCGCCTGCCTCTTCAGTTCACCCTCGAATTGCTAGAGTTCCTTCTGCACTTTGCATCTCCAGGCAGATCTGTCCGCAGCTGCTGCCTTCCATGTGTTGATGTCGATGTTCATCTGCTCGAAGTTGCGTTTACATGAGTTTTTGAAACGCAGCTGGGGGTCTTCCGGTGGGTCTCTTTTCTGATATCAGTTCTCTATAGAAGAGGTCCTTCGATTTGCAGCCGTCTTCCATGCGTGTGACATGTCCCAGCCATCGCATGCATCTCTACTTCAGGAGAGTGATCATTCACGAGATTCCTGTTCTCTCGAGTACTGTGTTGTTGGTGACGAGATCTTTCCACGTGATGTCAAGGATGCATCTCAGGTTCTGCATGTGAATGGTATTGAACCATCTCTCCTGGCGAGAGCATAGGGTCCAGGATTCCGAGCCGTAGAGAAGAATACTTACCACACACATGCCATGTAGACTTGTGCCTTGGTGTGTACTGTCAGTTTGATATTTTTCCAAACAAGCTTTGTGAGCCTAGCCAGTGTTATTGTGGCCTTCCCGATACGCCTGTTGAGCTCAGTGTCCCGGGAAAGGGTGTCTGAGATTGTGGAACCCAGGTACACAACCTCGCGGACCGCCTCCAGCACATAGTCTGCAATGTTTATACAAGGTAGCTCATTGACGTCTTGTCTCATCACCTGTGTCTTCTTCACGCAGATTGTTAGGCCGAATGCGGAACAGGCTGCGACAAAGCGGATAAGCTGCTGCTGCAGGCCTTCTGCTGTGTGTGTGTGTGTGGTGATTGCTGCAGCGTCGGCGAAGAGGAACTCCTTGAGGATTCACATCTGTACTTTCGTCTTTGCTTGGAATCTGGATAGATTATACAGCTTTCCATCAGATCTTGTACGAAGATGGATGCCCTCTGTGGTTGTTCCAAAGGCATGCTTGACGAGGATCGTGAAAAAAATTCCGAACAGGGTTGGAGCAAGAACGCACCCCTGTTCATCACCACTATTGATGTTGAATGATGACGAAGTCGAGCCGTCGTACACGACTGTTCCCTTCATGTCCTTGTGGAACGATTGTATCATGCTAAGAAGCGGTGGGTGGGCAGCCAATTCTGGCCAAGATCATGAAGAGTCCGTCCCTGCTCACGAAGTCGAAGGCCTTTGTAAGGTCAATGAAGGCGATGTACAGGGCTTTTCTCTGCCTCCTGCACTCTTCTTGAAGCTGTCTCAAGGAGAATACCATGTCAATGGTCGACCTCTCTGCTCGTAAAACGCACTGTGACCTGTGACTCAGGGTACACTCTTTCAGCAAGAATATGAAGCCTGACCAAGACAACCCTAGCGAAGAGTTTGCCGATGACGCTGAGGAGGGAGATGTCGCGATAGTTGTTGACATCGCTTCTGTCACCTTTATTTTTGTAGTGAGTGATGATGTTTGCATCTCTCATGTTCGATGGTACATGGGTACCATCGAACAAAAGGTCTTAGTCGACATGAATTTGAAACCGGCCATATACTGCAGGTATGTTGACGACATTTTTACACACGTACCTGACGTCAGACATCTGCAGGAGCTGAAGGAGGCATTTGAGCGGAATTCTGCGTTGCATTTCACTTACGAGATGGAGAAGGGTGGGAAGCTGCCCTTTCTAGATGTAACAGTCATGGAAAGGAGCGGAGGTTTCCACACTGCAGTCTACACTAAGGAAACAAACATAGGAATGTCCCTCAATGCCAAGAGTGACTGCCCAGACAGGTATAAGAGGAGTGTTGTTAACGCTTATGTCGACCGTGCTCTCAGCCACAGCTCAGGATGGAAGCAAGTCGATGAAGAACTCTGTAGGGTAAGGCAGGTCCTAGTCAACAACGGCTTTTCCAATGGTTTCGTTGAAGACATCATAAGAAGGAAGTTGAAACGCCATGCAACATCTGAAGAGACAACTAACACAACACCTGCATCCCCTATTAGACTATTTTACAGGAACTTCTTTTCCACAGCTCATAAAACGGAGGAAAGGGTCCTGAAAGATATTGTTAATAGAAACGTTATCCTACAGACAAAAATCAGAAGATACAATTGACGATTGACTATAAAACCAAGAAAACGGCCAACCTACTCATGAGAAACTCTCCAGACACAAAGCAGAACGCTTTAAAAGAGACCAATGTCGTCTATGCCTTCAAATGCCCACTTGGGGACTTCAAGCCTCAAAGAACTCAGTATATAGGCAAGACAACAATATCTCTTTCCAGGCGATTAACGATGCATAAGCAACACCTTAAAAGTACGGAAATGAGTTTTGGAGAACTCCTATTTCAATTAAGCCCTGATGCTAAGAAAATAGTTAGAGGGATAGAAGCCCTAAACCAGAAAATAATAAATACAGAATATGCGGTCATATTCAATGAAACATGTTTGAAAGAAAACCTGCTGCCAGTATACACCAATATATATATATATATATATATATATATATATATATATATATATATATATATATATATATATATATATATATATATATATATATATATATATATATATATATGTCGTACCTAATAGCCAGAACGCACTTCTCAGCCTACTATTCAAGGCCCGATTTGCCTAATAAGCCAAGTTTTCATGAATTAATGTGTTTTCGTCTACCTAACCTACCTAACCTAACCTAACCTAGCTTTTTTTGGCTACCTAACCTAACCTTACCTATAAATATAGGTTAGGTTAGGTTAGGTAGGGTTGGTTAGGTTCGGTCATATATCTACGTTAATTTTAACTCCAATAAAAAAAAATTGACCTCATACATAGAGAAAAGGGTTGCTTTATCATTTCATAAGAAAAAAATTATAGTAAATATATTAATTCGTGAAAACTTGGCTTATTAGGCAAATCGGGCCTTGAATAGTAGGCTGAGAAGTGAGTTCTGGCTACTAGGTACGACATATATATATATATATATATATATATATATATATATATATATATATATATATATATATATATATATATATGTCGTACCTAGTAGCCAGAACGCACTTCTCAGCCTACTATGCAAGGCCCGATTTGCCTAATAAGCCAAGTTTTCATGAATTAATGTTTTTTCGACTACCTAACCTAACCTAACGTTTTCGGCTACCTAACCTAACCTAACCTATAAAGATAGGTTAGGTTAGGTTAGGTAGGGTTGGTTAGGTTCGGTCATATATCTACATTAATTTTAACTCCAATAAAAAAAAATTGACCTCATACATAATGAAATGGGTAGCTTTATCATTTCATAAGAAAAAAAATTGTGAAAATATATTAATTCAGGAAAACTTGGCTTATTAGGCAAATCGGGCCTTGCATAGTAGGGTAAAAAGTGCGTTCTGGCTACTAGGTACGACATATATATATATATTTTATACTTCTTACGTTAAGAAACCAGTGGATTACTAGTGTCGATCAGAGTTTCTAGTGTTTTCAGTGGATTCAAATGTGTAACTGTTTGGTGAGGCGACTTATATTAGTATTAGAGCTGTTTTGGGACATTTTCATTTTCTGGTGTTTGTACGAACTTTAAATCTAGAGTGGAGGTTCAGGACTTAGCTAAATTTCATGATTTTCATGAAACGCTGAGGCCCACCCACTACCCCGGGTGGGCCTCAGCGTTTCACGGGAGAGTGCGGTAATGTTCAACTTTGTTGCCTCAGTTCTGGTCCTAGGGCTTTCATTTTGTATCAATGTATTTGCAATGAAATTCCCTACAAGAGCATATGCATATAATATCCAAAACCGCGGCCAATTTGCCGCCGCCGCCGCAATGATGCGTCGTTACCAGAAATGCGTCTACTAAAAAAACGACGCAATGCTGCGTCGTTACCAAGCAGAAGTGATTTATTAACTTTTGAAAGGCGATTCCTGACTGCCAGATTTATGAGACAGAGTGAACTCTACTTGTGAAGAGGAGTAATTGACTTAGCCATATGTTCATCAATGTAGACTCGAACGTAAATTGATGAGTTTTTGGACTTTGTTATTGTCAGTCTTTGCTGGCTCTGAGTTTCTAGAAGAGTTTTATTAACTTCTAGAAACTTTTTCTAGAAGTCTTTTTCTTTGAGCATTACTATGGAGCATGACACGACACCTACTTTATCTGCCATCTGTTGCTACTGGTCCCCCTGTTGTTCCCATTCATTCCCCTATTGTTGCGTCTCTTCCTTGTGTTGTTACTTCTCACTGCTCAAGTATTTATTTATTGTTGTTGATCCTGTTTCTTCCAGTGATGTTTATATTTCTCTTGATATTTGTGTTGAACCTTGCGGTTAGTATTCCTCTTTGTTAACCTGAACAACTTTCACACGAGATTCTCTGACATCTGCTGCAGGTCACTGGGAAGGGAATTGCCTCGTCTGCAGCAGCTGGAGTACTCCTGGATGTATACCTTCGGCAGTCATCTACAGAATTTTCTGCCTCTCATGCCCCGCACGACACCAACTCAGCTCATGGTGGGGTTCCTAGGGCTGTACGCCTTGATCCTCGACCTCGCCTACTCCACCAGCCTAACTGCCTATCTTGTCGCCAGCAAACCTCCAGCATCCATGGACTTGATCAAGGAGTTAAAGGAGTCTGGGGTAGAAATAGCCGGCTTGGGTTACTTCTATAAGAATGCTCTGGCTGCTGCCATCGACCCTGACCTACAGGTGTGTATTTATTGGATAGTGATTCTAATGAATATACGCATATATATATATATATATATATATATATATATATATATATATATATATATATATATATATATATATATATATATATATATATATATATATATATATATATATATATATATATATATATATATATATATATATATATATATATATATATATATATGTCAGGGTGTCTCTCTCTCTAGCCAGTCACCACCAAGTATTAGTAGTGATAAACGTTACTTACGGTAGCCACACGGGTCTGCACTCGATCCTCACAGTGCCACTGTTCACCAGGAGAGTCTCTCAGTCTGTCTCCGGCTGGCCTCGTAGCCTAAAGACGAGTGACGAGTGAGAACACGATCACTTCACTTGATCATGTGCCCGTCCCGACAGAGGGCTCTACCGCTCACTATAGGTCGCCAACTGGTGGTTACCATGTCTAGTAACACCTCAGAGGAATAGTAGTAATATAGTAGTGTCCCCAGGGAATACTAATCAATTTGGTAACAGGTAAGTATATGTTTAAATCACTCACTCTTAGATAGTCTCAGTAGCAACAAGGTAAAGGAGGGTTGATACAAACACGGCGGTGGTTTTGTAGTTTACTTAAAAGATCAAAGAATCATAACTCTGCATCAACAACATGGCAAAGGAATAAATGAGCCGCCTTCTCTCTGCCTCTTCACAATTCTGGAACACTCCGGGAATGGCAACACTCCCAGTTGACGTGCGTTCCCACGCTCCACATGCTGTGTTATCGAACGTTTGGCAACTCGCGAGATGCCACGCCCACTCACACTCCTCACTATACTCACAATATTGGCGTGAGGCGCCAATTATTCCCTCGTATTCACACTCTATCACAACACTGGCATAATCACAGTTAACCACTAAACATATGAATATACTATGTAATAACTCCAGTATATATAGTTCACTTTATCAATATATATAATAACGAGGTAACTCTAGGCACACAGCCTTTCACTATTAAATTGTATATTTATATATATATATATCCTCTGGCACGAACTTATAATATAAATGACATGTAAATATAAATGTCCTCGTCACAGTAATCTTTTCATCATACCACAGGTGCAATCACACACCATATATATATCTCGTGAGAGCTCAATAGCATCTCCCTTCACAACTGTGTCTTACTAGAAACATAGACATTGGTGGGCCCTGCTCACGACATAGAAAATACTCTGGCTAATCGCTAACTAAAGGGGAATGGGAGGGAAAACTGAATTACCTACTTCCATCATAAATGATGTGGACTCGTCCTCTGTTGAGGGTTGAATTGAAGCTCCTGGTCCAGGAGCTCTTCCCAGGACCTCAACCAACACCCAAAATCGCGTCTTCTCCGTACTGCTTCTCTCTGCTGGCTCCGTGCTCCTCTACAACCTCTTGAAGGGTTGGAGTGGATCTCCTGGCCATCGCTTCCTCCTCACAACTACGTCTGCAGTCCTTACTCCCGGATGCAGTCGTTTGTATTCCCAGCTAGTTTGTTCTTCTCCTTCCTCATGGTGAACTGGCCCAGCCGCTACATCATCATCCGACTGGTGAAACTGTACAGTCGTCCCTGACGTCACTGCCCAGGCTTCACTCTTGCTAAGCACCTCTCACTGGAGCACTTGTTGCTTGTTTCCCGTCAATTCCTTCTTCTGTCCACCTCACGGAGTTCAGGAAGACATCACAGGATGCTCGCAGACCACTGGTGATGCGTATATTCACTGGAGAGGGGCGAATGCTGTCAGACTGACAGGACCCCCTTATCGCCCGTCCGCCCTTGACGACGTGTCGTATCTAACTCCTGGCGCCACGGGTCACACGGCCTGGACCTACCTCCACTCGTGACGTCACACTTGCCAGTGGCATTTCTCATTGGCTCCCTGTACCACGTCACCGTTCTTGGCCAATCTGGTGCCACTGACGTCATAACATTTTGGCGCGAAAACGTCTGAGTCGGCGCCATCTTGGCGTCCAAAAGGGCCTAAGCCACTGGCCAAAACGCTCTTCTTTAGTTAATTTCTCTCCTATGCGAGAACACTTCATGCCCCCACATATGTCAAATTGTTCTCTGGAAGGCAGAGAACGTTCGGGTAAAGTAGATATGACTCTTACAGCTGGCGTGGGAGAAATATAAGGGGGAGAACACCATCACATACTCCTCCCCTTAAAATAAAAGTCATATCGGTTTAGTGTACTCGGGAAAGAGCATCCGCTACCACGTTGTCCTTCCCTCTGATGTGCTTAATTTCTAACCAGTATTCTTGTAGTAGTAATGCCCACCTTGTCAGCCTCTGGTTGGAGTTTCTCATCTTGTACAAGAAAGTCAGAGGGTTGTGATCTGTAAAATCGAGAACAGGCCTCGCCCCTCCTCCCACGTACACGTCGAAGTGCTTTAGGGCCATTACTAAAGTTAAAGCCTCCTTTTCGACGGTATTATAGGCACGCTGGTACTTCACGAATTTCTTGGAGTAAAATGCGACAGGCCTATGTACCTCGCTCCTTTCCTGGGCCAACCTGGCTTCTATCCCTATATAACTGGCATCTACGTACAGAATGATCCTGGCTGTAAAATCTGGGGATATCAACACTGGGGCCTCTGTCAACAGGTTCTTCGTCTTCTCGAAAGATTCCTGGCAGGCCTCTCCTCACTTCCATCGTGTATTTTTAGAGAGTAATTCTGTCAGAGGATGCGCTATCGTGGAAAATTTCTTACAGAAACCACGATAGTATCCAATCATCCCAAGATACCTCAGCAATTCCATCTGTGTCCTAGGTATTGGGTACTCTCTAATAGCTGATACCTTGTGGTCCACAAGGGTAACTTCTCCTTGACCGATGACGAAACCCAGGTATTCTAGATGGGCCTTCCCAAACTCACTCTTGGCTAGGTTCATGGTCAGGTTAGCATCTTCCAGCCTCCTGAACAGCTCCCTGAGGAGTCGCTCTAGGTGTGCCTCCCAATCGTCGGAGTACACTACTATATCGTCAATGTATACAGTGCAGCCTTCGGCTCCTCTCAGCAACTCGTTCATCATCCGTTGAAAACAACCCCTGCTGTTCTTCATCCCGAAGGGCAACACTTTATACTGTTACAGTCCATCTGGTGTCACAAAAGCTGATATCTTCCTAGCCTCGGGAGTTAACGAGATTTGGTAATACCCCTTGGGCAGGTCGACCTTGGACACATATCTGGCACTACCCACCTGATCGATGCAATCACTTACCCTGGGCATGGGGTGGGAATCTGCCACAGTGATGGAGTTCACCTTCCTGTAGTCCGTGCAAATGCGGTATGTACCGTCACTTTTCTTAACCAGCAAACACGGGGAACTCCACTCGCTGTTGCTAGGCTCGGCAAGGTCATTCTCAAGAAGGTACTATACCTCCTTCCTCATCAATTCTCGCTTCTCAGGGCTGACCCTATAAGCACTCTGTTTAATGGGCCTGGCGTCCCTCACCTATACCTCGTGCGTCACACTCTTGTAGCGTCGGGGCACGTCGGTAAAAAGAGATGCATTCTCTCTCAACAGGTCCGTCAGATCCGCTCTCTGTCTTCCTTCCAGGTGTTGAAGCTTGACTCCGATATTCTCCAAACTCTACGCATTGGAGAGATGGGTGCTGTCCACCCTGGACCATTTTCCTTCCTCTGCTGGAATCTCTTGATTCACCTGCACGCATAAGACCACATTCTGCTGTAGTTCTCGTGGCATTGTTCCGTCCTGCACGGCGGCTCCTCCTTCTTCAGGGAAGAAAGGCTTCAGACGGTCAATATGACACACTTGTATCTTGAGGGGTCTGTCCGGCTTGCTGAGTGCGAGCTGGAAGCCAAGCTGAAGCGGCAAGAGATTGAAGCCAACAGAGAGGTTAAGCTGAAGCGGGCTGAACTAGGGCTAGCCCCACCAGCACCCCCACAGCAGGAGGACCGCCGGGTACGAGAGCACAATTTACCGATCTTTGTGCCTAATGAAGCTGAGGCCTTCTTTGATCATTTCGAGAGGGTAGCTACCTTGAAGAAGTGGCCAAGAGCAGAGTGGGCAGAGCTGGTCCAGAGTAGGTTCACAGGTGAAGCTTGCGAGGCTTACAACATGCTTGACCTCGAGAAATGCACCAGTTATGATGCAGTGAAGAGAGCAGTGCTTCACTCGTTTAAGCTGACTCCAGAGTGTTACCGGAAAAGGTTCCGGGAATGTACCCGTTCGCCAGGTAAATCTTACGCAGAGATGGCGAGGGACATGGAAAGAAGATTTCTGAAGTGGTTGAAAGCTGAAGGAGCTATGTCAGCAGAGGACATCAAACAGCTAATGGTCATGGAAAAATTTATGTCCGTGCTCTCTCCTGAGATCAGGATTAGAGTCAAGGAGGCGGACATAAAAGACCTGAGGGCTGCTGCTGACAGAGCCAACATGTTGGAGGAAGCCTTGTGACCACGCAGAGAGGGACCGCACAGGCCTCCGGCGTACTCTGGCTATGGGATTGGTTTTAGGAAGACGGACGGATGGAGGACAGGAACAAGTTCTCCGAAGTCCCACCTCTCGAGTGGAGACGGTAGGGGACTGAAAAGTTCTGTGGAATCAGTCAAGAAGCCCCTAGCTGAGAGTGCCGGATCTGTTGTTGAGCCGAGGGACGCTACGAGGGAGACGACGGAAGGCGCGAGGAAGACTCACGGAGCGACGGTCTCTGGAGGCGTTGCCAAGGTGAGCAATGGTGGAAGGTCACCGCCAAGAAGAGTCCGCTGCTACAACTGTAGAGGATATGGACATTTCGCGCGGGATTGCAAACGCCCTAAGCAGCGTGGGAACGTTGCTTTCGTTAGGATGGAGGACCAAGTGCCCGAGAACGTGCGGGGTGAGTCTGTACAAAGTGTGGAGAAGAAAATTCACCCGTTCGTGTGTGAGGGGACGGTAAGGGCGGGGGAGGCAGACCCCGTTCCTGTGAAGATATTGAGGGACACCAGAGCTGATTTTACCCTGGTGAGTGGAACCCTGTTCCCCGAGGGTTATGAGAATACCAGTGTGGAGATGGCTGTTGTGACCACTGTGGGAGGCCCAGTCAGGATGCCCCTACACAAGGTAACATTGGATTCTGATTATGGCTGTCAGACCCTAGTGGTAGGGGTCTGCGCCTCAATGCCCAAGATGGAGGAGCAAGTCATCCTTGGGAATGACGCCTGTGGAGGATGTGTCCTACCTAACCTCGGGAAGGGCGAGGAGTGCTTGGAGCACTACAGAGAGAAAGGCGGAGTATTAGACGCCTGTGGAAACGGGAAGGGAATCACCGAGGTGGAGTTCCCTGTATGCGCTGTGATCCCAAGGCGGTGCAACGAGCACGGAGTGAGTGGATCTGATGGGGCTGAAGAAGAGATGTATGACAGCCTGGGGGTCGATCACCTCTTCGCGGAACTCGGAGAACAGGTGGAGGGCGATGGTAACCCGGATAGTGAGCTACAAGTGACCCTCGCCAGTTCTTTTGGGATGGACCGCGCTCGTCTGGGGGTGTTACAGCAGGTGGAGTTCCCAGAGTTGATTCGGGAGGCCAAAGGAGGACGTGCTGGTCCTGAGAGTGCCACACATTTTTATCTGCAACATGGGATGCTGATGAGACAATGGAGCCCAGAGAGGAATCACTAGGTATGGACAATCACATGCATAGTAAGCCGAAAAGTGAATTCTGGCTACTAGATAGGTCATATACATACATATATATATATATATATATATATATATATATATATATATATATATATATATATATATATATATATATATATATATATATATATATATATATATATATATATATATAACCTAGCTACCTATATGTCGTACCTAGTAGCCAGAACGCACTTCTCAGCCTACTATGCAAGGCCCGATTTGCCTAATAAACCAAGTTTTCACGAATTAATTGTTTTTCGACTACCTAACCTAACCTAACCTATAAAGATAGGTTAGGTTAGGTTAGGTAGGGTTGGTTAGGTTCGGTCATATATCTACGTTAATTTTAACTCCAATAAAAAAAATTGACCTCATACATAATGAGATGGGTAGCTTTATCATTTCATAAGAAAAAAATTAGAGAAAATGTATTAATTCAGGAAAACCTGGCTTATTAGGTAAATCGGGCCTTGCATAGTAGGCTGAGAAGTGCGTTTTGATTGTTGTTAATGTCAAGTTCATGTCGACTAAGACTTTTTGCTCGATGGTACCCATTTAGAAGTTTGCAAACAGGACACCTAGGGGAGAACCCATGGCGACCCCATCTACTTGCTTTTACATGTTTCCATCCGGGCTCAAGAAGGGTAACATCGAGCAAAAAGTCTTAGTCGACATGAACTTGAAACCAGCCATATACTGTAGGTATGTTGACGACATTTTTACACAGGTACCTGATGTCAGACATCTGCAGGAGCTGAAGGAGGCATTTGAGCTGAATTCTGTGTTGCGTTTCACTTACGAGATGGAGAAGGATGGGAAGCTGCCCTTTCTAGGTGTAACAGTCATGGAAAGGAGCGGAGGTTTCCACACTGCAGTCTACACTAAGGAAACAAACATTGGAATGTGCCTCAATGCCAACAGTGACTGCCCGGACAGGTACAAGAGGAGTGTTGTTAACGCTTATGTCGACCGTGCCCTCAGCCACAGCTCAGAATGGAAGCAAGTCGACGAAGAACTCTGTAGGGTAAGGCAGGTCCTAGTCAACAACGGCTTCTCCAATGGTTTCGTGGAAGACATCATAAGAAGGAAAGTGAAACGCCATGCAACCTCTGAAGAGACAACTAACACAACACCTATACCCCCTATTAGACTATTTTACAGGAACTTCTTTTCCACAGCCCATAAAACGGAGGAAAGGGTCCTGAAAGATATTGTCAGTAGAAACGTTATCCCTACAGACAAAAATCAGAAGATACAACTGACGATTTACTATAAAACCAAAAAAAAACGGCCAACCTACTCATGAGAAACTCTCCAGACACAAAGCAGAACGCTTTAAAAGAGACCAACGTCGTCTATGCCTTCAAATGCCCTCTTGGGGACTGTAAGCCTACAAAAAAACAGTATATAGGCAAGACAACAACATCTCTTTCCAGGCGTTTAACGATGCATAAGCAACAGGGCTCCATTAAGGAACATATAATCACTTCCCACAAACAAACCATCACCAGAGAAATCTTAGCAAACAACACAGAAATCATCGATAGATACAGCGATAGCAGGCGGCTTGACGTCTGCGAGGCACTACACATCAAGGAGTCAACACCAGCAATCAACAGCCAATTAATGCACAACTATATTCTACCCACTTCAAGACTCCGCTCCAATATAGAAGCATCAAGAAATATGGACCAATAGACTTTCTACAATTACTTCCATTCAATACCTATATATATATATATATATATATATATATATATATATATATATATATATATATATATATATATATATATATATATGCGAACAAGCCTGAATGGTCCCCAGGACAATATGCAACTGAAAACTCACACCCCAGAAGTGACTCGAACCCATACTCCCAGGAGCAACGCAACTGGTATGTACAAGATGCCTTAATCCACTTGACCATCACGACCGGTCATGATGGTCAAGTGGATTAAGGCGTCTTGTACATACCAGTTGCGTTGCTCCTGGGAGTATGGGTTCGAGTCACTTCTGGGGTGTGAGTTTTCAGTTATATATATATATATATATATATATATATATATATATATATATATATATATATATATATATATATATATATATATATATATATATATATATGTATATATATATATATATATATATATATATATATATATATATATATATATATATATATATATATATATATATATATATATATATATATATATATATATATATATATATATATATATATATATATATATATATATATATATATATATAAATTATACAAATAAGTGTAATACACTCTATAGTAAATATATATATATATATATATATATATATATATATATATATATATATATATATATATATATATATATATATATATATATATATATCATAAATACAGCTTCAAGACTTCGACGAAACACAATTAAAAACGAAAAAAATCTGAACTCTATTGTTCAATAACTCATTTTTATGAATACAGTATACTATATTCCTTGAAAATGTGATGTGCCATATTCATATACTCATCCATGAATTAAAGTACATTATAGATTCTCTGCAGCAAGAATTAGGTCCAATGATTTAAATAGTAGCAACTCTTAGGTAGCTATTGTTACCGCATATATGAACCTTACAGTGAATTATTCGTTAATGATGCCAACTGCTGGTAGCCTTTGTAGAACAGAAATAACACATTTCCGTTCCTTTCCACAAGTGTATGTGACTACTGCTATGATGTAGTGTGGCGGTCCTCTGCTTGCAGAGCCTGACGAAGACCTACCACGCTCACCAGACCGTGGAGACCATCTTCCCACGGGTGCTGCAGGGCCGCTCTGTCTTCCTCCAGAACCAAGCTTCTATTGAGTTCATCACTTTGACCAGATTCACTAGGAGAGGCATCTCCAGTATGCGCATTATGAAGGTGGGTCTTGGCTGCAGACTGTTTAGTATGTGCTGTTGCCCGTGTCAGTCGTGACTGCACTCCAGCTGGTAGGTCCTGTTAGTATTGCTTATGTCCGTAATCTAATATTCCCTGAGACATATTTAGACACAGAGTTCTTGGCTAATACATGATAATCAGTGTTTTTTGAACTGGTGTCACCAGGAATGTTTTGCACCATATGGCATCGCCTTAGCCGTACAGCGCCACTCACCTCTTAGGTGGAGGTTCGACAGAGTCATCGGGTGGCTGCAGCAGAGCGGACTCATCAGGCACTTCTTCCTTACCTCCCTTAGGCTAGCAGCTTCGACTGTGGTAGGTCATCTTTCCTGCCTATGTTGGTAGTCTGCTGAGGTACATGTTTCCTCTTACACTGACTTCAAATAAACAAATTTTTAGTACGTTATATGACTGTACAATGTAGGTCTTATTTCATCAGGTAAAGCGGCAGATTCTGCATAGGTCCATCATTTTTATCTCTATACTTGGAAAGATGTTCTTCACCTGTATTATTTTGGCAGCGTTTCCTTGAATAAGTTTTTTCTTACTATGTAATGGCTGTTTATATTGCTGACTTGAGCAGCATTAAATGTAACTTTACCTCAAATGTCTGTCTTTCCCTCTACTCTGAGAATGTAGAAAGTAAGTTATTTTCTCGTCAGTCATAAACAACTTTCGAGTTAAGTTTTTACACTGGATGCATATGAATACCTACCTTGTCAGGTCTTTTAGACTGTTCTTCACCTCCTCAGTCTAGTCATAATTGTAACCATCTGCATAAGCTGTTACGGATAAAGTTTCTGATTCCGATATACTAGCAGTAATTACTGTATCAAAACATTTGCTCACCTCTGTATTGATAGTGTACTTAAATTTATCTCTCTTTTCAAACAAATATTATATGCCTAATTTTAACTAATGTCGCTGCTGGAAAATACATGTGTAAATTGATTTATTCTTCGTCTAGTAAAAATGTTAAAATGTAAAAACTTAGAAAGAGTACTAGAAGTGATTGTTGCTGCTGGAATCTCAGCCAGAAATCCATGCGTGTTTTTTTAATTACTTCTGACTTGTAAACTCTAATATATAACATAATTATTATTTACAGATATTAACAATAATAAGGTCTACGATCAAGAAATTTGGGCAATTGGGTGTTGAAATAATGTGTTTACTTCTGAAAACATATTTTTATATTTGTATTTCCTTCTGACAACATTTGTTTAAATGATAACCACAAGACGTGTCCTAATGCTGATGGTAAACGTGGGTCCTGACTGACTACATTACCAAAAAACAAAATGGAACAGCCTGTCTGTCGCTGATAAGTGCACTGCAGGGTTTCCTAATAGTATATTGTATTTAACTCCTGGCTTCGTCCTAACACCCTTCAGGAGTACAGCAAGACGGTGGAAGACGGGTCAGCAGGCGAGGAGCTCCATGGAGAGGCTGAGGGCGGTGTCCTCCCACTCACCACAGAACACCTTCAGGGAATATTCTTCATCATCGTCCTTGGCTGGCTCCTCTCTCTCTTCGTCTTTTTCGTGGAGAATAAACTTTGTGTTAGAACATGTGTCAAGGAGGGAGGCCAGAAGGACCAACGGGTACAGGAACACGACACGAAACACCACGGTTGAGATACGGGAGTAAGAGTGATGTTGGTACAGTGTGAGAGTCTGGGAATGAAAGTAATGTTGGTGTAATAGTGTGAGAATCTGGGAGTGACAGTGATATTGGTACAATAGTGTGACAGTCTAGGAGTGAGAACGATGTTGGTACAGTGTGATAGTCTGGGAGTGAAAGTAATGTTGGTACAATAGTATTCGAGTCTGGGAGTGAGAATGAAGTTGGTACAATAGTGTTAGAGTCTGGGAGTGAAAGTAATGTTGGTACAATAGTGTGAGAATCTGGGAGTGACAGTGATATTTGTACAATAGTGTGAGTGTCTGGGAGAGAGATGGATGTTTGAATAATAATGTGAAAGTCTGAGAGTGAAGGTAATGTTGATAAACAGTGTAAGAGTCTGAGCGAGAGTGATGTTGGAACAACAGACAGGGAGTGACGTTGGTAGAACAGAGAGTGATGTTGGTACAATAGCGTGACAGACTGGGAGTGCAAGTGATGTTGGTACAATAGCATCTATGGATACAGGTGAGAGCAGAATGGAGATAATTATATTTTCATATTTGTTGTGGACAGGTTGCCTGTATATATATATATATATATATATATATATATATATATATATATATATATATATATATATATATATATATATATATATATATATATATATATATATATATATATATATATATATATATATATATATGTCGTACCTAGTAGCCAGAACGCACTTCTCAGCCTACTATGCAAGGTCCGATTTGCCTAATAAGCCAAGTTTTACTGAATTAATATATTTTCTCTAATTTTTTTCTTATGAAATAATATAGCTACCGATTTCATTATGTATGAGGTAAATTTTTTTTTATTAGAGTTAAAATTAACGTAGATATATGACCGAACCTAACCAACCCTACCTAACTTTACCTAACCTATCTCTATAGGTTAGGTTAGGTTAGGTAGCAGAAAAAGTTAGGTTAGGTTAGGTTAGGTAGGTTAGGTAGTCGAAAAAAACATTAATTCATGAAAACTTGGCTTATTAGGCAAATCGGGCCTTGCATAGTAGGCTGAGAAGTGCGTTCTGGCTACTAGGTACGACATATATATATATATATATATATATATATATATATATATATATATATATATGTCGTACCTAGTAGCCAGAACTCACTTCTCAGCCTACTATGCAAGGCCCGATTTGCCTAATAAGCTAAGTTTTCATGAATTAATGGTTTTTCGACTACCTAACCTACCTAACCTAACCTAACCTAACTTTTTCGGCCACCTAACCTAACCTAACCTATAAAGATAGGTTAGGTTAGGTTAGGTAGGGTTGGTTAGGTTCGGTCATATATCTACGTTAATTTTAACTCCAATAAAAAAAAAATTACCCCATACAAAATTAAATGTGTTAGCTTTATCATTTCATAAGAAAAAAATTAGAGAAAATATATTAATTCATGAAAACTTTGCTTATTAGGCAAATCGGGCCTTGCATAGTAGGCTGAGAAATGAGTTCTGGCTATTAGGTACGACATATATATATATATATATATATATATATATATATATATATATATATATATATATATATATATATATATATATATATGTCGTACCTAGTAGCCAGAACGCACTTCTCAGCCTACTATGCAATGCCAAATTTGCCTAATAAGCCAAGTTTTCATGAATTAATTGTTTTTCGACTACCTAACCTACCTAACCTAACCTAACCTAACTTTTTCGGCTACCTAACCTAACCTAACCTATAGAGATAGGTTAGGTTAGGTTAGGTAGGGTTGGTTAGGTTCGGTCATATATCTACGTTAATTTTAACTCCAATAAAAAAAACTTGACCTCATACATAATGAAAATGGGTAGCTTTATCATTTCTTAAGAAAAAATTAGAGAAAATATATTAATTCAGGAAAACTTGGCTTATTAGGCAAATTTGGCCTTGCATAGTAGGCTGAGAAGTGCGTTCTGGCTACTAGGTACGACATATATATATATATATATATATATATATATATATGTCGTACCTAGCAGCCAGAACTCACTTCTCAGCCTACTATGCAAGGCCCGATTTGCCTAATAAGCCAAGTTTTCCTGAATTAATATATTTTCTATAAATTTTTTCTTATGAAATGATAAAGCTACCCTTTTCACTATGTATGAGGTCAATTTTTTTTTATTGGAGTTAAAATTAACGTAGATATATGACCGAACCTAACCAACCCTACCTAACCTAATCTAGCCTATCTTTATAGGTAAGGTTAGGTTAGGTAGCCAAAAAAAGCTAGGTTAGGTAGGTTAGGTAGAGGTAGACGAAAACACATTAATTCATGAAAACTTGGCTTATTAGGCAAATCGGGCCTTGCATAGTAGGCTGAGAAGTGAGTTCTGGCTACTAGGTACGACATATATATATATATATATATATATATATATATATATATATATCTATATATATATATATATATATATATATATGTATATATGTCGTACCTAGTAGCCAGAACGCACTTCTCAGCCTACTATACAAGGCCCGATTTGCCTAATAAGCCAAGTTTTCCTTTATTAATATATTTTCTCTAATTTTTTTCTTATGAAATGATAAAGCTACCCATTTCATTATGTATGAAGTCAATTTTTTTATATTGGAGTTAAAATTAACGAAGATATATGACCGAACCTAACCAACCCTACCTAACCTAACCTAACCTATCTTTATAGGTTAGGTTAGGTTAGGTAGCCGAAAAAGTTAGGTTAGGTTAGGTTAGGTAGGTTAGATAGTCGAAAAACAATTAATTCATGAAAACTTGGCTTATTAGGCAAATCGGGCCTTGCATAGTAGGCATAGAAGTGCGTTCTGGCTACTAGGTACGACATATATATATATATATATATATATATATATATATATATATGTCGTACCTAGTAGCCAGAACGCACTTCTATGCCTACTATGCAAGGCCCGATTTGCCTAATAAGCCAAGTTTTCATGAATTAATATATTTCCTCTAATTTTTTTCTTGTGAAATGATAAAGCTACCCATTTCATTCCGTATGAGGTCAATTTTTTGTTATTGGAGTTAAAATTAACGTAGATATATGACCGAACCTAACCAACCCTACCTAACCTAACCTAACCTATCTTTATAGGTTAGGTTAGGTTAGGTAGCCGAAAAAGTTCGGTTAGGTTAGGTTAGGTAGGTTAGATAGTCGAAAAACAATTAATTCATGAAAACTTGGCTTATTAGGCAAATCGGGCCTTGCATAGTAGGCATAGAAGTGCGTTCTGGCTACTAGGTACGACATATATATATATATATATATATATATATATATATATATATATATGTCGTACCTAGTAGCCAGAACGCACTTCTCAGCCTACTATACAAGGCCCGATTTGCCTAATAAGCCAAGTTTTCCTTTATTAATATATTTTCTCTAATTTTTTTCTTATGAAATGATAAAGCTACCCATTTCATTATGTATGAAGTCAATTTTATTATATTGGAGTTAAAATTAACGAAGATATATGACCGAACCTAACCAACCCTACCTAACCTAACCTAACCTATCTTTATAGGTTAGGTTAGGTAGCCGAAAAAGTTAGGTTAGGTTAGGTTAGGTAGGTTAGGTAGTCGAAAAAAAAGTTAATTCATGAAAACTTGGCTTATTATGCAAATCAGGCCTTGCATAGTAGGCAGAGAAGTGCGTTCTGGCTACTAGGTACGACATATATATATATATATATATATATATATATATATATATATATATATATATATATATATATATATATATATATATATATATATATATATATATATATATATATGTCGTACCTAGTAGCCAGAACTCACGTCTCAGCCTACTATTCAAGGCCCGATTTGCCTAATAAGCCAAGTTTTCCTGAATTAATATATTTACTATAATTTTTTCTTATGAAATGATAAAGCAACACTTTTCTCTATGTATGAGGTCAATTATTTTTTATTGGAGTTAAAATTAACGTAGATATATGACCGAACCTAACCAACCCTACCTAACCTAACCTATCTAACCTATATTTTTAGGTAAGGTTAGGTTAGGTAGCCAAAAAAAGCTAGGTTAGGTTAGGTTAGGTAGGTTAGGTAGACGAAAAAACATTAATTCATGAAAACTTGGCTTATTAGGCAAATCGGGCCTTGAATAGTAGGCAGAGAAGTGCGTTCTGGCTATTAGGTACGACATATATATATATATATATATATATATATATATATATATATATATATATATATATATATATATATATATATATATATATATATTAGTATATTTTGGTAGCAGTCTTTCCTGTAGACATATATTATTAAATATGACCGAAAAAGTAAGATTAATAATTCTAACACGAATTTTCTCAATCTTTCGTACATTACGCTTCACTGTTGGAGGTAAATCAAAAATCACTTCTCCAAAATTCATTTTTATTTCTAGTCTGACGCGACACGGGCGCGTTTCGTAAAACTTATTACATTTTCAAAGACTTCACAAATACACAACTGATTAGAACGTATCTCTGATTTTATATCTACATTTGAGTGAGGTGGGAAGGGTGATGTGGCATTAACACAAGACAGAACAGCAGGGGATATTAATAGGGTATTAAAAGTATCAACACAAGACAGAACAGAAACAATGGGTATTGAATAGAAGTGTTTGCAGAAAGCCTATTGGTCCATATTTCTTGATGCTTCTATATTGGAGCGGAGTCTTGAGGTGGGTAGAATATAGTTGTGCAATAATTGGCTGTTGATTGCTGGTGTTGGCTTCTTGGTTGACAAGAAGTCAACACCAGCAATCAACAGCCAATTATTGCACAACTATATTCTACCCACCTCAAGACTCCGCTCCAATATAGAAGCATCAAGAAATATGGACCAATAGGCTTTCTGCAAACACTTCTATTCAATACCCATTGTTT